GAGTGTGACCTTATTACACATGGAGAAAAGTGTATTCGAGGCTGAAGTGGCGGAGATTGAAGAGGTTAAGATTAGAGGTCCTCAATCTTGAGGGAATTGCGAGAAGGAGTAGTGAAGGTGTTGAAGAGGTTTTTTGAGCACAGGGGAGTTCTTTATAAACGGTCATATGCGGGACCACATTTGCGGTGTTTGACTAAGGAGGAAGGTCGATATGTTATTAAGGAGGTGCATGAAGGATGTTGCAGTGACCATAGTAAAGTAGGGGCGTTGATCGCAAAGATATTGAGGGCTGGATATTTTTTGCCAACGATGAAAGCAGATGCAAAAGAGATGGTGAGAAAATGCTTGCAACGCCAAAAGCATGATTCACTTATCCACCAACCAGCGAAGACGATGACGACGATGAGTGCCCCTATCCTGTTTGCACAGTGGGGTATCGACCTAGTGGGACCAATGCCCCCTTGTCTTTTGTGTCCACTCATACTCATACCAGTCATCACTAATGAGATTTTTTATTTATGTTCTCCAGACAAGATCTTACCTTTTAATGCCATGTCAGGCGCACCTATCAGAATCGTGAAGGGAATGGGGCAACAAAAATTTTTTATTGTAGCGGTCGGTTATTTCACGAAGTAGGTAGAGGCTGAACCATTGGCTAAAATCACGGAGGAGAAAGTGATACACTTTTTATATAACAATATTTGTTTCAGATTTGGAGTCCTGAAAGTGTTGGTATCCGACAATGGAACACAATTCAATGGCAAGCGAACTCGGGCGTGGTGCGAAGATAGGAAAATCGAGCAACACTTTGCCTCGGTGGCCCATTCACAAGCCAATGGACAAGTCGAGGTGACCAACAGAATCATTCTGAATGGACTAAAGACAAGGTTGGAGAAAGCATCGAGAGCTTGGGTGGATGAGCTCACATCTGTACTTTGGGCATATGGAACTACACCAAGGTCGACAACTTGAGAAACCCCGTTCAGTCTGGTCTATGGGATGGAAGCATTATTGCCAATTGAAGTGGAACTACAGTCTCAAAGATCAAGCACTTATGAGCCTGGACAAGATGAAGAGTTAATGATGGCAGCCCTTGCCACAATCAAGGATCTCAGAGAGCAAGCCTCGACCAGAGTTGAAGGGTACAAACAAAGAATGCGAGCATCACATGATAGGAAGGTGAAGATCTGCAGATTCCAGGTGGGCGATCTGGTTTGGAAGAGTATCAACGTGCTGAAGCATCTGGGCAAGCTGGAACCAAATTGTGAAGGACCATACCTGGTCGAGAAGGTGCATGCTGGAGGGGCCTATTCCCTAAAGGACCATACCTGGAGGGACCACACAAGCACTGTATATGATATTATGCGTGAGACTTTCAGTAAAGTGTGAGTCTGTGAGATGTAGATGTATGTCTTGTGTGTATAAATCCTATTTATAGGACTTCTAACTTAGGCAGGGAATGGCATCAATCATCTGCCACATAAGAAAGGTAACAACCCACTTAAGGTTGTTCTAAACGGTCATGCCGTTTTCAGGTGTTAACATACCACTATTCCACTTGAAACAGTCAGGTAGAGTTAACACGTCCAGGTTCAATGTAGGTGGAGGGGTCTCAGACGGGTTGGGTCAAAACTCAAGTCCATACCCAAGTCGGTTTGTATTTTATCTTGGGGTTTATTTTTGCAAATAAATTTGCAACAAAAAGATTATAGTGGCTGACTCCACCCGAGTCCAAACCCAAGCCCAACACCAAGGCCAATACCAGCCAAAGCCGCCCACGGACCAAGTTTCAAGTACCAAGGCCCAAGGCCCATGCCCGAGCCGAGACGGCCGGCAGGTGTGCGTGTGCGTGTGGCCGAAGTCATCACAAACACTTGGTGCATAAATTTATTGTTGTTATGACCTCCAACTCTCTTTATTATAATAAAGAGATTAATCTCATTTAATAGTTCAATGTGGGATATGAGTTTGACACTTCGAATCCACCAACATTTTACGTGCTCATTAACGAGTAACTTTAATAATTTATATTCTCACTCATTGAAAATCAATTTTGAGAAAATAAATATACTTGGGTGTCTACTCCCAAATGTAGATTTTTTTTACGTAGATTAATTCAACCAGGATTAAATATTTTGTCGTAAAAAATCAGTCAAAATTGGATCAAACTCAAGTTTTTATTACTGATTTTTCAATAATAATAATAATAATCTATATATATAATAAGTACAACCACTTACTAGAAATAGTAGCCAAAAAATCTTAGAGCATTAAATGCATATATACCTTCTTCGGAAACTTTAAAATATATACATTAATTGTTTCCATATATACAATTCCAAATCAGATCAAATCAGATATGATTAAAAATATTCTTTTCTTTAATAATTTTATCAACATTTGTAATAATTTCATTGATATCCATTATAATAAATAAAAAATTTAATGATTCATATTGATTATTTTATTGCAAGATAAACATGAAAACATATTTTAAATTCTAATCATATTATTTTTTTCACAAAAAATTGACTTTTGAAATTAATATAATTTACCAACAATGACTAGATACATTAAATAATTTTGCAAATGGTCAAATAATGCAATGAAATATATTAACTATTATTTAGAATTCAACATGTGATTTATTTGTATATTATATTGTTAACCACAATTATTTTTTTATAATTTTTTTATTTTGATTTTTTTCATAGTGAAATTCTTTTAAAATATATTTCCATTGCAAAGTATGCTGAATAAACTATAAAGTTTTATGATGAAAATTAGAAAAATCTCTTGATTATAGAAAGGATTTAGTTTTTGGCAATTACTAAATAAAAAATGTTTATTATTATAAAAAAATTAAATTCTAAAAATAATTGTGTATATTTTGTAAAATACTTGTAAATAATGTTCTATTTTAAACATATTTACACAATTTAAATTAATTACATTAATAAATAATATTAACGTATATTAAATATTTTCATTACATAAAATAAAAAAAGAAGAAGACTACATTTATAACTTTTATATATTAGAATAATGACATTATATTACAAAAAAATTTATAATAAAATACTAATTAAGTGATATACGAGGACCAAGAATAAGTAAAGTTGTTATTTTTCTTATATCAAATGTCCAGAGTCTTGAAGGACAGATATTTTCCTAACTGTTCCATCTTTAATTTGACCAAAACTCAAAGTGGCTCCTGGTTATGGCATACTTGGTTGGACTACCTTCCTATGCTTGCACAGGGATTGAGGACAGAAATCAGGAATGGGGAAGATACCAGAATTGAGGACATCAACTGGGTGCCTGAATTACCTTCTCTCAGACCAAATCTCCTGAACATAGCCAGAGGACACATCACTTGGGTCAAAGAACTTATGCTTGACAGTGGACTTGGCTGGAACTCCTGGCTAGTGAAGCAGCTATCTAATGAAGAGGATATTCAAGCCATCCTCAACATCAAGACTCTTAATCCAAGACAAAGGACAAATTTTATTGGAGCTTTGACAAAAAAAAGTCAGTTTTTTGTTTCCTCCACTTACTCTTACCTTATCAAGCAGCAGCTCCTACACTTAGACATCTCTGACCCAAGTGTTCATAATTTAAATGGTAGCAAATCAATGCTGAGAAGCTGGGGTCTAAAGATAAAGGGGACTATCAAACATTTTCTATGGAAATGCTACTCTGGTTCACTGCCTGTTAGAACCTCTTTGTTGAAAAGAGGAGTTCCTGTGGATGCTTTGTGCCCCTGCTGTGGGGAGGCCCCTGAAACCATAGAACATGTGCTATTCTGCTGCCCAAGAGCACAGTTACTATGGAAATTGTGTCATGTACAATGGGATGAGGCTGCAAGGCAAAACTGCTCCTTTAGAACTTGGTGGTGGCAATATTGTACTTTGGACAAGACTCCAGTGGCCGAAGATAGAATACAACTCACGACGTATCTCCTTTGGTGGCTCTGTAAGTCGAGAAATCTGTGGCTATTTGAGAAGAATAAGATGCCTATTCCTGTAGTGATCGAGGCTGCACACAAGGAATGGCTTGAATTCTGTTCACTGAAGGGTTAAAGATGTGTTCTTTTCTCCTGTTTGTTTTGTTTCCTTGGGATGGTTTTTTTCTTGTAGTGAAGGGGGTTTACTTGCTAGGCATTTTATGCAGTGTTGAGTTTACCCTCTTTGTTTTGGTTTCGGCTGTTTTGTTGAGTTCTAGGCCATTTTCTTAACGTGTCCTCTCATTCTTGTTTTTCGGCTAGTTGTATATACGTTGTTCGTGGTTTGAGTAATAGATTTCCCCTATCGTTTCGAGAAAAAAAAAAAAGAATAAATATGTATACTAAAATCAATTTTATATTACTATAAACGTGTCAGCGGGATAATATATTAATTAATTTATGTGCTAGCACTAACAGGTTCGGGTTTAACGTCCCGACAAAAAAATGACGTTGATGAAAAGAGGTAGAAAATAGATGATCCAACACTATTGTTTCTTAAGTCTTAACGGACTCATTTAATATCTATGTCTTATGCATCGCACGAGTTACTTAACGAACAAGTTCTATGATAATGACTCATTTAATATCTTTATCCGATAAATCAGACGGGCTACGTAATACTTTATTGAAGAAGTTTGCCATTTTGAATATATTCTGTTTCAAATTTTTAATTGTAAACTTTGTTACGTATATTATGTTGACTTGAATAATACTCCTACAATTATAAAATCAAACTCAGAATCCACGGTTGAGATTGTTCCTCAAATGGAAAACAATATATCTCACAACTCCAACGGCCAGATGACTTTGACCAGTCGATGAGTTCGGTACCAGCGTTTGATTTTGTTTGTTTACTTTAGTTGCCGTTAACAATTAGGTGCTCCATTTTTTCCCGGCAAGTGCACCTTTGCACACGTGGGGCTTTACAATTGGCTGTCTAGTTTCCGGTACGCGTCCCAATGCGTCATTATAGTATCCCTCTCTGTTAAAATTTATTTAAAATTCCATAGACGCTGACAGTAGAGAATTTTAATTTTTCAATTCATGAGCAAAAGCAGATTCTTCCTGCATTTATATATTCAATTGTATAGAATAATAGTATTTGCCAATTTACTATCTTCAATTGTTTGAGCTCAATAACGCTAGTCCTTCTTGAGAATTTTCTTGTTCAGCGACAAGAATTTGATTAAAACCACAAAGCACATTGATTTTGTTGGATAGTCTTTTTGGTGAGTACCTTTCTTCTTTTTGTCTGTGTGTGTGTTGAGTTAGTTTAATTTGTTTTGAAACTTTATTCCTTAGGCTCGTTTTGGATTTTACAAGCTATTTATATTTATTTAGCCTTTTGCTGTTTTTAAATATTATGTACTCATGTTTGCCCTTTTCCTTTACATATTGATGATGATAATTCTTTGTGCTTGAGTTTAAGATATATGTACATACATATATGCTGATTAAGATAAAATCCATCTTCTTTTGGGTATTACTATTTGCAATTGTTCAATTTTTATTTATTGAATAATTATTTTATTTCCTTAACATGCTTATAATGGTTTGTTTCTGATGATCTTATATGTGNATAAATGACTGTGAAGATAAATGGATTTCCTGAAGGCACTCTGCCTGAGGAGCTACTTAAGCTTCTACAATCAATAGCCTCAAATTTGGGAGATTCAATAGATATTTCATCTCTAAAGGTTGTTCAGTTAAGCGGAGCCATGACAAACGAGGTATACAAAATAAGCTGGCCCACAAAGCCCGACAATAATCATCAAAACACAGTTCTTGTCAGAATGTACGGTGAAGGAGTTGACCACTTCTTTGACCGTGATGATGAAATCCGGACTTTCGAGTGCCTCTCGGAAAACGGTCATGGCCCTAAACTCTTGGGAAGGTTTCGTGAAGGGAGGGTTGAAGAGTTTATTCATGCAAGAGTATATGTTCAAGTTCAACTGCCCATTCTATTCTAACTTTTTTTTTTTTCTTTTTCTTGAAAAAATGTCAATTTTTGCTGATATTTGCGGTTACACCAAATATTTCGCAGACTCTATCAGCAGCAGATCTTCGTGATCGAGAAATATCTGCTTTAATAGCTTCGAAAATGAGAGAGTTTCATAACTTGGATATGCCTGCTCCTAAAAATGTTGTCTTGTGGCAACGTTTAAGGTTTGTACGAAAAAAAATCAGTGCTAAATTCCAAATTGATATTTTAAGGGCGAAATTAAAAATGNCAGAAAATGGGTGAATGTGGCAAGAGATTTGTGTTCTGAAGAGCATGCAAAGGAATATCGGCTAGACAGATTAGATGAAGAAATCAGGTTACTAGAGAAGTTCATATCGCGAGATGAGGAAGAGATTGGATTTTGCCATAATGATTTGCAATATGGTAACATTATGATCAATGACCAGAATAAAACCATCACTATAATTGTATGTTTTTTCTTCTCTTTCCAACAAATTAAAGTGCTGGAAATGCACTATATGAGTTTCCAATTTTTTTTTATTTTTTTTTATTTTTTTCCCAAAAATTGGATGATTTTTGCATTTTCAATGTAGGAGCAAGTTTGTGTTTTATTGTATATCTATCTATAAGTTGATTAATTATGAAAGGTATTTTTTTTTTTTATATATATATCTTTGAAATTGCAGGATTATGAGTATGCGAGTTACAATCCAGTGGCCTATGATATAGCAAATCACTTTTGTGAGATGGCTGCAGATTATCACACGGATACGCCTCACGTCTTGGACTATGAAAAATATCCTGGTTTGTAAAGATTGTTAATAGCATTCATTTAATCATTTTGAATTATATTTGAAGTTAATGCCTCGACATAATTTTTGTTGGGTCCTTGCAACAGGTCATGAGGAGCGAAAAAGATTTATAAAGCAATACCTCAGTTGTGCAGGTTTGTTTTCTCAGTTTTGTTATTTACAAAAATAAGCCCTGAGGTTTAGCCTAATTACATAAAAAAAAAATATTTATTTTTCTTTCAAAATGTCCTCTTTCAGTGTTACAGACTTACAAATTAAGCACTTGCGAATTTGTGATGTTGAGTGGGGGTGTTCACGGTCCGATTTTAACCCAAACCATGACCAAATCGGACCTAATGGTTAATTTTTTTTTTTGTCCATAACCGAACCGGTTTTATTTTTTAACCGACCACAATCCGGACCGCATTGGACGGTCCGGTTTGGCGGTTAACCGGTTAAATCCAAAATCCTTGTTTTGGGCCTTTAATTTTTATTTTTTTCATTTTGGGCTTAGTTTTTATTTTTCAATTTTGGGTCCAAAAGAGATTATTTGGGCCTAAAAATTAAGAAAAATAACAATAATGAAATAAAAAACTACACAATTCGTCCCATAAGCATAAAAATACACATTTCATCCCAAAAACATAAAAATACAAAAATGATGAAGATTAAATTATGCAAATTGAACCCAAGCAAGCATTCATTTTTCAGTCAGTTTATACACCTGAAATAATAAGAGCAAAACATTCATATTTAATGTATTTGTCGGCCATAGTGAATGAATTAATGTATATATATATATATATATATATATATATATATATATATATATATATGTTATAGTTTTTTAATATTTACCGGTCCGGTCTGGTCCGGTTAAACCGGCGGTTTGCCGAAGGTAATCCGTTAACCGGACCGGTTATTCCGGATTTTTAGAAAAATTAACCACCGGAATTTTTAAGGCTTTTTTAACTAAATATTTAACCGAGCCGCGATCCGGATTGACGGTTTTTTACGGTTAAAATCGAACCGTGAACACCCCTAAAGTTGAGAGATAACCGAGAGTTTTGGTAAACAGGGAAAAACAATTAACACATTTTCCGGGCATTGATGTTCACATGTCTTTTTATGTGTTCTTTTAGTTGTTCTCATGTAAAGTGTCTTTTATTTGACTACTTACCACCCAACTCTTTACTTACAAATATTGCTATCATGATGTCTTATTGTCGCACAACTATATTTTTTTTTTTTATATATATAAATATATGCTCATGCTAGTGGAAATGTTTTATTTTTGTTTATATTCGATTTTAAATATGATGAGTATAAAAATATTTTTGCATCTGTTGAAATAATAGAACTACCTAACAGAAGAGCTACAGTTGTATAAAATTATGACCAAAACGTATAGTAAAAGATAAAATAGGAGAAAATTATATTAATGGCATATAATTCTGTAGTATAATTTAGAGTATACGTCGAGAAAGTAATAAACTACCTTTTTTTTCCGTGTGAAAATTTTGTACTAAACTAGACCCAAGGATGGTTGACCTTTCCTTCTTCTATCCAAGTGGTGTTTTGGTATCTTTTTGTTCACACATCACATTATGATGACAACCGACTTTTGATTCCGATTTATATCTACCATAACTGAAATCTCACCAAACTGTAGACATGTTGAATTTAGTTATCCTTTTATTCAATTCATTTGACATTTACCTAATTATTAAAAAAGTCTTCCTAGAATTTAGAACATAAAAAAATATTTAGAGAAATTAATTATGCAGGCCAAGCAAATAGTGTGACGAGCTTGGATGAGCTTGAAGACGACATAAACAAGTACACTCTGCCAAACCACATCTTCTGGGGACTCTGGGGCTTAATCTCGGTATATATTTATATTATCCATCTTTTCTAATTGTTTTCTAGGCTTTCTTTTTTGTGAGG